GCTGCAATGAATAGTTGATGCTCATGCTCACACAGATGGCCCTGGTTAAACTCAGTAGGTCGCAAAAGAAAGCAGATATGATATGGAAAAGGTATTTATATGCAGGAGGATGTGGTTCATGGGGTGGGAGATTAAAAAGTGATGGAGGTGAGAGTAATCAGCATGCATTATATACATGTATGGTATTGTCAAAGTATTCTTTTTACAAATTAAAATGTTTGAAAGAAGAGGAAGGAAGGAGGTGATGAAGAGGAGGAGGATGAAGAAGGATAAGAAGAAGGAGGAGAAGGAAGAGAAGGAAGAGGAGGAGGAGACGTTATCAGTTTATATCATGTAAGAACTGTGTGATCTCTTCTTCAAGCACCCAATCTCCATATACCTATAGACTTCTGCCTCTTCTTGATGATGTCTATCTCTCTTGTTGGTATTCCAAAGGGCACCAGGAAGGACATGAGCCCAGGTATAACTGCTATGCAGATAAAGTAATTGGAGCCCAGGGAAATGAGCTTCTCAACTAATGCTTGGTCAAATCAAAAAGAAAGTTAGTCTTGATGCTAATAACAATGTGTGCACAGCTTGCCACATGGGCTGTGATCAACCCTCACTGATATGAGAAAGAGGCAGGAGGTATTAACAAGTTCAAAGTCAAACTTGGAAAACTGCAACCCACAAACTCAGCCACATGACTGATAATTAATTACTCTGCTAAGTCATTTATACTTCCAGGTTAATTTTGAAATAATTGCTGAAACTAAGAAGGTATATTTTTATCATGTTAGAATTACATAAGTGAATTCTTAACATTTCCCCCACCAGTTCATGAATCTCTTAGCTCATTTTCTTTTTCTTTATGCATAACACACACTTGTAGAATATATTTTCAATCATATCATCTTTTGCACACACTGTGTGTGCTACGTTTGAAGATCCTGTTTATTATGTTGGCCCAAAGAGGTAAAATGTAAATACATCTCAACTCAAAAGTTTATATATGAAGTCTCATTATCACTGTTCTTGTAAACCCTTGCCCCCTGCCCTACCAGTAAGAAAGACAGCTCTGGGGTCACACACTCTATTCACACAGTAGACTTATTTTATTTCCTTTTTTTCAGTGAAATTTGAATTCAAAGGCCAACATTTAAAACAGAAATTGGAAGCTGTAAGTCTTCTTTCTTTTTAAGAAGTAAATGTATTTATTTCACATCCTGGCCACAGTTTCCCCTCCCTCCTCTCCTCCCAGTCCCTTCTTCCCACCACCACCACCTACATCCCCACTCTTCCAATCCACTCCCCCACCATTTCTGTTCAGGAAAGGGCAGGTCTCCCACGAGTATCAAGAAAACAAGAAAATGTGCCATATCAAGTTGCAGTAAGACTAAGCACTTTCCCATGTATTAAGGATGAATAAGGATCTTCCTTTCATTTAATTCTCAAATAAGCCTGTGAGTTATTGGCTAGTATATCTCTATTTAAAGTGACCCTCAGAGAGCTTTATGGAAGTGCTGAAACTCATTCCCAAAACAGAAATGTCTAAACTGCATTAATGTAATCATCTCTGGAAAACAGGAACAAGCAACTAAGGGAAGTTCTCTGTTTTATATGGGGCCTATCCTCTCACCCAGGAAGATCTAACTGCATGAAAATGCTATAACCTCTATTAGAGGCTGTGGTGTTTTCCACTAGGGATCTTTGATTTTCTGTCAACCACATGCTCACATACTTTCTCTGACATGAAATCTATTTCCAATAGATTTTCAATTCTTTTTCTGAATGACTCTTCAACAGCTAAATTTATATATTAGAAAATCAGGGCTGAGGACACAGCACAGTCAATGCACAGCTCATGTGTCCTACATAGTTCAGTCCCCAGAATCCAATGCAAAAAGCCAGTGCAGCTCTGCTGGCTGTCATTTCTCCAGTTCATAATTGTTGTATGATTAAACTCCCATGATAGTGAGGCATAAACACGTGAATACCTGGAGCTTACTGGTCAGCTAGTCTTTCTGAATAGATAAACTATAGGTTCGGTGAGAGATCCCATTTCAAAAATAGAAGGTGCAAAGAAACAGAGGAAGACACCCAACATCATCTTTAGGCCTCTACAATCACAATCACGATGACAGTCAGAGTCATGCACGCACACACACACACACACACACACACACACACACCATGGAAATGTCCTGTGCTAACAGTTTCCAACAACCCACACTCTGAGGATGAAAGCTGGGACTGGTCAGTTTTTCTAACATTTGATCTTATCACTTTAGTTGCAGCAGTGTGGGGCTATTCTAGGTGAATGAGAAATCAGTACCGAATGCCTTAGCACAGCTGCTCCCTTCTGTGGTCTTGCCATGAACTAACTCAAGCTCTGCTTGGGAATTTAAAAGAAATGTATTCCATAAAGATCCAAAATTGTCCATAATTTCTTTCTCAGCATCTTACAAGACACACAGAATCATCTACCTGACATTTCTTACACAATAGAAAGAATGCTGGGAAGGCAAGTAGTTATCAGACCAGGTGACTCCATTCTTCCTGGGTTTCTTCAAGCTCTCTTTAAAGAATAAAGCTTAGGACTCAGTATCTGCTTGAGAACATTTACTGGGACAAAATTGGCAAATAAACATCTTAAATAGTCTCCTTAGACCTAGTTCCCAACAGGCTTTTTATTTTCAAGAGCCATATGTTATAAAAAAAAAAAATAGCTTCCACATGTTAGCTTGTTTAACTTCCTGAAAACACAAAGCTTATGAAACTGTCCATACTGCAGGGACTGGCTTTACCTCCATTGTTTTCCAGCCGTGCTCTTACTTGCAGCCCACATAGCCTCACTGTCATTGTCACAATCAGCCCTCTAACCTTTGAGGGACCACTGCATACATCCACTTCCAAACCCAGAAGCTTGGATTCTCACATTCTACTCTATCTGGCCCCCTTTCAGAGGCTGGTCATGTCCCTGCTGTATTTTTATTGTGTTTCACACTCTTTACCCTCCACCTCCCTTTCCTTATTAAACAAGAATCTCTCTCTCTTTTTTTTTCTGATTTGGTCTCTCTCTATCAAAACACATTCTTCAAAGGCTTAAACAGAAAAGCTCTCCCCTTGCTAATACTTACTAAAACGTGTACATTTCCTACATGTTTTCATCCAGTGCTTTTAAGGAGAGTTTGCAGAGCTCATGTTTACTGAACTCCTGGTAATTCTGGGAAACTGGCCCACAGCCTACACATGAGCATCACTGCTCTTCTGCCTGTCCTTTCTCTAATTCACTTGTTAATATTTATTTAACTCAAGCTTTGTTTGCTTACAAGGGATGGAAACACTCAGAGCTTATCAAATACAAAGAAACTTTAATGAGAAGATGGGTAAAGTGGAAAAGAATCTCAAGGTTCTTCTATTTGTTCTTTTTAAAGTTCTATAAGTTCTTGCTTGCTTTATCCTTCAGTGTAACACAGGCGTATATTTGTTCCCTCTCACCTTACCAGCTCTGAGCGGCATGCCTGTAGAGTTAACTTGCAAAATATGAAGTAAGTTATGAAAATGACACTGTACCTTGAGGGGTATAATGTCTATCCTACTTACTTAAATATGTCAAATAAAAACCCCATTGATTTTGATGGAATTTTTATAGACCAGTTGCCATCCTGGAACATAAACCTGTGGTTGCACTGAAAAGTAAAAGATGTGTTAAGCTTAACAGTTGTGTTAAGCTAGCATGCCCATGTAAGCCTGTCCAAATTGCCTGGTTGCTCCAAGAGGCAGTGTGCTGGTTGTTTTGTTTTGTTGTCAACTTGACACAAACTAGAGTTGTCAGAGAAGAGGAACCTCAAGTGATAAAATATCTCCATCATATTGCCTTAGGAAAATCTGTAGGACATTTTCTCTACTAATGATTAATATGGGAGGGCCAAGACCACTGTGGGAGATGTCATCCCTTCTTCATGTTGTGGTGAATTATATAAGCTTAGAAGCAATGGGAAGATAGCCAAGAAGTAACAATCTTCCATGGCTTATGCTTTTGTTCCTGCTTCCTGGTTCCTGTTCTGACTTCCATCAATGACAGAGTGTGGACCGAGACTTATAAGGTGAAATAAACTCTTTCCTTCATAAGTTGCTTTGGGACATAGTGTTTTATTACAGCAATAGAAAACCTAAGTAAAATAGGGAGGTTCCTATGAAGATAAATGTTGGTAAAGCTGAAATCACAATTATCATTCCAATAATTTTGTTGTTTAGTAAATCTTAACATTGGCATTACCACTGCACTTTACTAAACATTGGATCATTTTATCATTCAGCACCATGTGTGAGATACCCCTTCTAGGCCATCCTGAAGTCATCCTATTCTGATGGATCCCCTTTAGTGATGTCTACACCATTCAATCTCAGTGGGAAATGTTTATACTCTTTCCATGTCTATTTACTTTCCCTTTAATTTCTTTATTAAGCTGTCCTAAACTTGTAGACCCTATCAAAGTGGCATGTCCTTTTCTACTCAAACATTTGTTGTCTTAAAGACTTATTATGATTTTCATTTTATTTGGTCTAAAGATACCTCTCTTTAAATATTTCTTCTTATTTCACCAAATACACAGATCACTGCAATTTAGAGTCATGTCACAGATAGCTAAATATGCTAGAGACTGGAAGAGAATATCACAGAGCCACAAGGACACCAAGAAAATAGGCAAACAAAACAAAACAACAACAACAAAAAAAAAACTAGGGAATATGCTCTCAAGATGATATATACACTTGCTACTTTGGTTCAATCTCATTCTTACTATTTTAGAAAATCCACATAGAAGATTTAGATTACATGAATTTCCTTCATATTTATTTTATGAACCTTCTCCACTACAGGGCTGAGTTAAATAATCAGATGGGACAATGTGCCTGCCAGTAAGAAAATATTTGTCTAAGATGTTAATGTTAATAATTTGAAATGAAACACAGTGTAGCAACATGCAAATAAGCATTCATTCTAAATAATTTACCTCATAGCCAAGTAAATGTCCATTGCTCAACTTCCAGGGAATTGTGTTCCATGAAACTTCAATTTCTGAGGAAGACAGGCTTTGGGCAGAGATATGGGATGGGGCTACTGTAGGTTCTATTCAGAAACAGAAATTGGAATACAATGATAATGTTGGCCATTGAATTGAAAAATCATCTGACATCCTAAATTTAAAATTTTTCAATTTAAATTTCTGAGGCAGGGCATTAGAATGTAGTCCTAACTGGTCTGGCACTTTTCATGTGGTCTAGGCTGGTCTAGAACTCCCAAAATCATACTGCCTTGATTCTAGGGGCAGCAACTGTCAGAATGTACCACCATATCTGGTTAAAACTCTTTAAATAATAACAATGAAAACATTGATCAGACAAAGAGCTCATAGTATTCTGTAAAAGTATTTAAAACAATTTGATATCCTGAAAATATAGATCCTACTCTTTGTGCTTAGGAAAAGGTGATTTCATAGTCATTAGTTTTTCATTGCCAACTTGCCATAGCAACCTGTATTTCACACCTTGGACTTATTTCCTTGTGTCTTCCTTTTCTCAACCAGTCCTTTTATTCTCTCTGTCTTGTCTTTGTTTCCTTCTCCTTCATCTCACACCAGGAACTTCTGTACCTATAAATGCTACTGACATTTTATCATGTCAAACAAAGGCCAAGGTCAAGTCAATGTCATTAACTCATAAATACCGAGTGAGTACCATTTTTAGTTTAGGTGCAAAGGAAGTAGAGATTTAAATGGGATAGATGGCAAATGCTGTCCAAAGAATCAGTAGAATTGTCAATGGTATCACATAAGAAATCCTCTTTGTAACAAATATTCCTGGGTTTTATGGGGTTCATAGAGATTTGCTTTTCTCAGAATACTGGTTCTTAGCAGACATTTCTCCTCTTCCACATCCATTTCTGCATTAAATGGTTCTGAGCCTAGACCATGGCTACATGTGGCTGAAATAGTATCAGGTTTTAAGGATGGGCACAATGTGTTCTCTATCCAGAGACTCTCAAAGTGGAGCAGAGAGACAACAGTACTTAGAAACAACCAATCCAGCATTGGCAGTTTAGCACATCAGAACATTTTCTGAGCTCCTTGGATTGTGGTTCTTTGGGAGTTCACTGATTAGATTTTACTTTGACTCACTGGGGTGCTGTAGCATATTTGTAGTATTATCTTGTTGCAAATGATACAGTAACAGTGACAACAGAGGGGAGGTGACTAAGACAAGAATGTGCAGAAAGCTATTAGTATCTTTTCATTTCACCACCAATACCCAGGTCTTAGGTGCATGGGTAGGCAGTATCTGAAAACTTCTTGGTTCATTACTAGGAATTAATTACTAGGAAGTAATCCTGGTCTGCCCTTTTAAGTCTGGTAGTTTCTAGAAAATTGGTCTGGCTATAAACATTAAGATCTCTCTTTTGAAAAGATTCTCACAATTTTTATTCCCCCAATTTATGGAAAATGAAACAAGACTAGATGTGGGGAGTCTTGGTTAAACTGACTATGTTTATTATTATTGTTATTATTATTAGAATTACCAACTTTACCATGTTTTATAATTCATTACCAAGTCCGAGAGCTAGGGGATACAACATGCTATCATAGTTCCTTAGTTGAGAATGGTTAAAGCCAAAGTTCCCTGGGTGAAATTGTTTTTTCCATTTACTAAATATGTTTTAGCAAATTCATTCACATCTTTCATCAATCTTCCATTTGCTCATTTCTAAATGGAGACTAATAATTGAATCTATGCTTCAATCTTTACCTGAAAATTCAAAATGGCAATGCTTTGCAGATGTTGATTACTTCATATAGTGTGGTATGAGATAGAACTTGATAACTAACAGGGCTAGCATTCAGTTATCGATACCTCAAATGTCTATTTACCTTGATTCTCTTAAGTTCAGTATCATTTTATAAAGAGGGCTTGAAAGAAAATATTATGTCTCAATTTCTTGAGGAGTTATTCAAGAAAGTCAGAATGACTGTGCAGGTTCTAAGTGAAATATGCAAGTACAACAGTTGGGGGTCATCCTTCAAAGATACACATTCTACATCTCTTAAATATCACACTCCTGGTTCTCATTAACCGTCATGCTTCTGCCCTTTGCTGAGGCCATAGGAAATATTGTTTACAGCTCTGTGTCAGGGTACTTTGAAGGGTTGCTTAACTTTTACACCAAGAAGAAAAATGAACTTTGGGAGGTGACAATATCCCATGGTTCACAAGATGAAACTCAGGATTAGAATGTCAGTTTTAATCGAGCATTATGCTCTGTGACTATCCATTGAGACTTAACATTTCTGGTCAGGTACAGTTCACTGTTATGACCTACATTGGTAACCAACAGCTTTGATGACTGCTCTTTTGAAAAAAATATGTATCTCTGAAGTCACAAAGAATAATCAAAATGTTTTCTAAAGTAATGCATTAATTAGATTGGAACTAAAGCCTGTATACTTTCCATACCTTCCTCTGCAGAGAACACCGTTGTTACTGGGCTGAAGGGCCCTTCACCTTTGTTATTATAAACACCCACTTTAACTTCATATGGTGAGAAAGGCACAATGCTTTCATTCCTAAAGACGTATTTTGGGTTATCTGGGGATGTCACCACTGTCTGGATCCAGGTGGTAACCCCAAGTGGGCGGAAAGCTACCACGTACCCAAAACCTCCACCATTCTGTAGTTCTTCAGGGACTGGCTACAAAGAAATGACAAAATTAAATCATTCTTACTTATAAGGTTAGGGCAAAAACAATTGAGATATCACTTGTGGACTTGAATATTATTAAATAGTGATCTATATGGAATTAAGCAGATGTGTTTCAAAAGTGAGAAGATCACCCATGAGACAGTCAGGGGAGCTGTTTTTAGATAATCATATGGCATTCATTCATAAGCATCCAGATAATGAATTTGCACCTTCCTTACTTATTCAGATATTAGAATATCACACAGTCCAAATGTGAGTTTCTAATAATTTAAACTTTTACTCAAGAACACCTGTTATTTTAAGACAAATAAAAACATTCAAATCCATAAATGCTAATTTTATAGGAAAGGTCATTCCTGGGTATTATAACTCAGTACAAAAAAAATATATATAGAAAGAGGAAGTGACTACAATGCACTAAATTTAAAGCTGCACATGATTAACTAAAGACTCTGATGGGAGATGTCATTCTGTAAATATGTTTCTCGTATTGTTTAATGAATAAAGCACTATTGGTCAATAAGAAAGCAAGATAGACAGGACTAGAAAACAAGGAAGAGAGAGGAAGTAGTAGGGAGGAGATTCAAGATGGAGGATGGAGACGGAAGAATGCTGGGGCCTCTCTCTGGTAAGATGAGACCATGTGGAAATACTTAGATTAATAGAAATGGGTTAATATTTAAGACAGAGCTAGCCAATAAGAAATACTAGTAACAGGCTAAGAGCTTTGTATCTAATACAGTGTCTCTGTGTGCTATTTGGGGTTGGCACAGCACTGGGACCAGAAAGGCAGGAATACTTTACTCATAACAAAATGGCACCCAACGTGAGGCTCAAACCTATGACCCTAAGATTAAGAGTCTCATGTTCTACAGACTGAGTTAGCCAGGATCCTCCTCAGACCTAGTTCCCTAGGTCACTTCCACCCGTTTCCATCCCCAGTGGCCGTGGTACTTCTTAGAGGGACTAGACTGGAGGAAAAACTACTTGTAACAAAACTCTACTTATATTCCACTGTTGAAAAATGACACTTGGCTTATTAACACCTTCAAATTTCACAGAGAATTTAGTCTTAGTGTATTTTAAATGTTAACTTTGTTGTTAAAATATTTCTTAATTGTGACATAAACTACGGCTAAGGGAATAGCTAGGAAGAGGCTAGACACACAGAGTCAACTGTTAGGGCCTGATCCTCAGTACTGCATGTGGAAACCACGTGATTTTGATCAAACTTTTTATTATCTCCTTGCCTTCCTATTTTTAGTGATACCATATTGTAAGTATGGAATGAAAACAGTGCGTATGAATGAGAGGAAAAGTGACTAGCATAGACTACAGCTGGGTCAAGAGCAGTATCACAGGCAACAATGCCACTAAGACCAACATCACCACTACTAGCTGTAGTACCATGGACCAGCGTGATGACTATCTCAGTTATAAGCACCACTATAACCACTACCAACAACCCCAAAGTTAAATGCACAACTCCTTGAGGGCATTCTGCAATCATCAGCACCAGTATTTTTATCGGTGCTGAGGATGCTGGGATCAGCAGCATCTATTCTTAAGAGCACCGGATGAGGACCTTGCGTGACCCACATCCACATTCCTAGACCTTCTATTTTCACCAATGCCACTAGCTCTATAGAAGCACCAACACTACTCCTGACAGTACCAACATCACCAAACCCACCAGAAGAAGTACTAACAGTTCCAGCAGAACTACCAATACTACAGGCAACAATGCTAGTTATATCAGCACAAACAATGGTATCACCAAAAACAGGGCCATTGGTGACACTGTGAGTATCATCATAAGCATCATCCACAGCTCCAGAAACACTGGTGATAATAATACCAGGCCTACCACCATTTATACCATCAATCAGATCAACCCTAGAAGCACTGTGACTTAGGCTACTAGAGGCACTGCTGGTTCCATAGGTACCATCAACAGCACTGGTACCACAAGAATCATCACTACCACCATCACCACCAAGAATACTACTACCAAAGTACCATTACTGGGACCACTAATTTTATCAACATTGCTATTAGCAGTACTGATATCCCCAGCAGTATGTGACAATTACTACTACATCAGTGCTGTTACAGACACCAATGCCACTAGCACCACTACCAGCACAGGAATACCAGTGCTGTCAGTATTACCAGTAACAGAGTCAGTGTGACCAGCATTACTGCAAAAGTTACCAAAAACATCATCACTAATGTCTAGTGCAATTATCAGCATGGCCACCATGACCATCAGCACAACTGTTATTGCTACCATCAATACCACCATCAGCACCATTTGCACTATCACCACAGCTACCACCAGTATAACCAGTGCTATGGCCATTACCTGAACTAATGACACCAACATCACCATCACTATCAACATCAGCATCAGTACCACCATAATCACAAAAATTTACAGGAGCACAAGTATCAAAAATGCCACTAACACTATAACTGTCATAGACACTATGAATTATGACCATACCCACAATAATAAGTGCCATTCCCAGCATCAGTGGCAGCACCATGTCCTTGTACTGTTTCTAGCACCAGACCCAACAATACCCCAAGCACTGGCACTATTAGTGCCATCAACAGCAGCAACAGTATTACCCTATCTGCAACATGATCAACAGTCCATACTACTCCCTATTCAAACATTAGTCCTATCACCAGCACAAGAACACTAAAACTGGCAACAGCACTAGTCTTATCACCATCAGCATCACTTAGCAGCACTACTGTCACTCATTCCACCAGAAAGGATGTCACCCAAACCAATACCAATGCCATCATCAGTGCCATCAGTATTTATATATTACTACCACTAGCAAAACCACCACTCTCATGGTGACCACCACTGCCACCATCATCATAACCATCAACTTCATTACAACACACCATGACACGTTTTTGATTAGTGGATGAAAAGCAATACCCTAGTGGGAAAGATGTTGCCCAAACACTTACATCCCAGGTTATTACTAGTTCAGATCGGCTTCCACCTCCTCCGCTGACCTCAGAAGGTGCCACTTCTGGAGCTGTGTGAGTAAGTGACACAGAAACAAAATTCTACTTTCATACAGTAATATTTGAAAGGAGACACATTTACTATAAAATATTATATAGATGCATGTGTTTATGTACATTTCTAAATCTCATTAGTAAGATCATCAAACTTACTTATATTCACATGCATTTATGAAACATTTTGGAATAGTCATCAAATTATTTTATTTACATGAAATCATAAATGATTCGGAAATCTCTGAACAGTAAGAAAAAATATAACCCAAGTGAAAGCTACTTTGCCACTAAGGTAACGGAAAAAAAAAAAATGAAGAAAAGTGATTTCCCATGATTGACAGGAAATCAGTTTAGTATGGAACTTCCAGACTGAGAAGGAAGTCTCAGCATGGCACAAGCTCTTGGAAAGAGTGACACAGACTGGAACCCTCTGGTCCTGCTAGGAAGTATTTTGATAAAACTCACATAGATATCAGCTTTCTCACTCATGCTGAGAACCTTTTGGTTTATAAATTCTAAGATAAAAGAAGAATATAAATTCTATGGAGGGCCTTTGAAATGTGCATTGCTGGGTTTGCTGGATGCATGTCAGATAGACCTAAATGCACATAGTGTGAACAAGTGAAGATAACAGCCAGAACAGCTTCCCACAATACCTGGAACAAACAAGAGGTATGCTCTTCTGAGGGAAAGGGCATTATTAAAAATGTGCAAACATATTCCATACTACTTTGACTTAGTGCTTAAAGTGATGCATTTGTTTATGTCATGGCTCAATTTAATTAATATTAGTGATTCTGCAAAGGGAACTCTTAATGTGCCCATGAGTGCTTCTCAAAAGGAATGGCAGGTTTGCCTGCTAACTTTTGAGTTTTGATGAAAGCATATTTTTAGAATTTTGAATGTATCTTTGTGACACATGTTCTAGTTACCTCATATAAGTTCTTAAAGTGATGCTTTCTCAATCTAATACTTATGGAATCATAATACACTACCAATTCTCTGAGTGTGGTGGCACACTGACTTTCTCAGCAGTATATCTCCAAGTGGTGTTATCAGAACAATTTGTCAGCACTTCTTATAAATGAAAGCAATGTTCCTCCTGCTAATGGGTAACTATGTCAGATAGTAATTATAATCTTAGGTGACAAAAACATATTCAATTAACACACACTAATGATCATCTGCAACTGATGGAACTCTTGAAATGCCACACAACATCAGAACCACTTACATGTTTCTTTTGATAAATGCCATATGGCAAAGTCTGCCATTAAAAATGTCATATCATTATGACAATGGGTTATTAAGACAGATCTCTTGGTGTCTGTGAGACCAAAGCTAATGGAAATATACACCCAGGTAAATTCATTAGCCCATTACTCAGAAAACAAAACACTAACCTGCCTCTTCAGTCCTTACTTTTTCTGAGGGTAAACTGGGTTCTCCGCCTCCGATTTTGTTACTGGCTACTACCCGAAATTCATATTCTACCCATGGGTTTAACTCCCACGACAGTAGCTGTATGTGTCTTGCCATCAATGACCTCAGGTACTATAAAGGAACAGTTCAGAAGGTCAGAGTCTGCCTGTGCCAGTGTGCAATTGGTATGCAGATCTCCAAGTTGCTGCCTTCCTTCTGCTTCTCCCATCTACTTTACCTGTTGTAACCGTTTGCCAGCCCACGGAGAAAGGTGTCCTAGCCTGGACTGCATAGGATATAACTGGGCTGTGGCTGTCTGTGCCTTCTGTCCAAGAGAGCTGTGCTGTTGTATCTGTAATTTCATCTACCTTCACATTTTCTGGTGGTCCAGGTGAACCTAAAAGAGGCAAAACTGCAAACAGCATCCCCAAAAAGTCATCCTCCCCTACCAAAGTGAGGAGGCTCACACCATCACTTTTAACACCTCCAGCTGATCCCACTTTCCAAAACACGTAAAGGGAGAGGCCATTTTACTGGCAACAAAACTACCACTTTGTCCCCATTCCCATTGTTAGCTGTGATATCTGGATAGGAAACTATGATTCATAATACCATGTAACTCACTGAGATATTCAGCAGTATCCCAGTATCTTTCTAAATTCAGCATCTTCTGCACCTTTTCAAATTCAGTACCCTCTGCTTTGGGTACTGAAAGCACAATGTGGCTTGCTACCTGGATATGTTTTCTTATACTGTGATATGCTTTGGACATTTGTTTTTCAGCCTAGCAGTTAACCAGTAGTACCCTAGATTGCAACTCAGGATGGTGAATTTTCCCATTGCTCTGGATAATACCTAATCTTTTGGAGGAAGACACACATGTACCACATTCTCTTTCCTATTTAATACATGTGCTGAGATGCTCAAAAACATATTGGCTTGGCAGAAGCTGTGCAATGCCAATTATAGTAAAAATTATTCGAAGGGCACACTTGAAGTTTTCATTCCTTTGAATTAACACATTCTTATTGTCCATCTTCTGACTTATGGGTGTCAGGATAACCTCAATAGAATGCCTTGCATTTTGTATAGTATCTCACCATGGCTTTCCTCTAGTTAGCAATGCTCATGAAAAGCATTAAGGTAGGCAATATAGACAGTATTACTGCTTACCTCTCACTATGAGCTCAGCTGCTGATGAAACACTGTCCACCCCTGTCTGTACCATACACACATACTTCCCACTGTGTTTCAGTTGAATGTTTCTGATCATTAAATCACCAGACGAACTCTATTGGAGAAACAGGTAATGAAACATTATTGTATTTAAAAACGCAAAGGATCTTGAAGGCAACACAATCCATGGTTAGAGAAAACAATGTGCTTTTCAAAAAACTGAAATCATAGAATGCCTGGAAACTAAGACAAGTTCAAAACTATGCATGATGGAATACACATTTCTATATGCATATAAAGCATTTCTCTGGGTATTTATGGCTTCAAAGAGAAATGAGGGCAGAGATTATAGTCTCAGTTCTATTTACTTCCAACAGGCAACACTTCTTTTTATATCCACTGCTTAGCACCAGCTCAGTTCTCTCTGGTTACAACCCCACTGCAATTATCTGCCTGAGAAGAGGAGGAAACATTTGGGTACCTAGTGGGAGATAAATACAGCATGGCAGGGGGGATTACCATGGCTGAAACATTTTCCTCTTTTCCAAATACATTGAAGCTTAAAAGACTAAAGTCATCTAATTCCTAAAAAAGCTACAGAATTTAGAGCAAGGAAATATGAACCCTCCAAGAAATTAAAGCACTTTAAACCTTATAAATAATAGTTCTGCAGAAGACATTTGTTGGCATCCCTTGATACCAATTAATGGAACAAATGTGTATCTAAATGCTCAACTTTAAAAGGCCCTCATTTAAAGAGAGTATGAATTCACATCTATAAAGTGACTAACTGCAGGTCAGTTTCCCACATTAGTGAAGATATAGACTAAAATAAGAGCATCTGGAAAGAGAAGCCCTTTAAGCATGATCGCCACTTCATATTCAACCTGGGAGAAGAAGAGGCAGTGTTTATCGTAGTCACTAAAGGGAGTTTCAGTCTTGCATGTGCCTAGAATTTGTGGCAAGAGGAACTTGACTGTTCTAATTTTAGGTAGTTCCGTAAAATCTGTTCAGGCTAATATCTCCCATATTGTTCCCCTTCCTGAGGGTTGCTAATGGGCTGTGTATTCTCTACTGGTTGGGTCTTATGGCTTTAGATGGGATTTCTGGGGTACTGGGAGAAGCAGCTGTGAAGTGATTGATGGCTGTAATTAAATGATAATCCAGAAAGTGTTCAGTTTGCACATTTCTACTTTCCTGGAGTTGAGCTTTTTTTTTTTTTTTTTTTTTTTTTTTTTATTCCCTCTCTTCCCTCCCTCTTTCTCCTCAGGGTTATTTAGAAATGTTTCCCCGGAGATAACTATCCCAGCCTGCTGACCTTTCCAAACTCTTTGGGTTTTATGAGCTCCGCATACTCCAAGGAGTGTGCTTATAATTTCCATAGAAATCTCCTCTTTTCCTTGAAGCTTTGCATCTAGTAAATGCCACCAAGCCACTAGGTGAGGCCTTTATTCTTCTCTGTCCCTTTATTCTTATTTTAAGACAGTTGGGCTAGAGAGCATATAGCTGAACTTTTCTTATCTGCTTTGCCATCTGGATGTAACTTTTAGGTGCTCTGGCTGTTTGTGGTTATAGAATGAGTAAAGAAAGAGATTGGGATATTAGTGTTGGGAAACTGGAATTCAGATGACTTTTGGTACTGAAGACTAAAGAAAGAGAAATAGCCAATCTTGAACATAAAACAAAACTGAAGAACAACAAAAATATTTCCCTAAGAAATGCAGCTAGGTTCACCTGCAGAGGATATATAATAAAAAAATCATGTTTGTAAAAATGTCTTTATTATTAGTTTACGTATATATGACTATTTGCCATACGTATATGTATGTATTGTCTGTGCAGGTCAGGAAAGGGTGCTGGATGTGGAACTTATACAAGGTTTTTAGCTACCATATAGGTGCTGAAACCGGAATTGGGCTGCTTTGCAAGAACACTGAGTTCTTTTGCTCCTGAGCCATCACTCCAGACCCTAAAACTATTAACCATGTCCTTGAGAATAGAACCAATGATGAAACTAAGATGTGTAGACAATGGGAGCCATTGATTGTTTTTTTCCTGACCAACATAGAACATGTGGAGGACATTCTAATTGCAAAAGAAAATTTTGCAAAAATTAAGAGAGATCTTCATCTTATTGTCACCTATTCCAGTAAAATATTATTTTGTACTATTTCTGTTTCCAGAACCTATGTGTTGTCATTGAGCAGATCTCTAGAAAAAACTGGGATCCTCCTTAACAAAACCATGCACAATGCTTCTTACTTCAAGAGTCCTGTCTGACACAGTCTCTGCTGAATGGACATTGCTAAAGCCACAGAAGGCTTAAGTGGAATAAACTGTGTTTATGAATTAAAATGTACAGTACAGGTAAAATAAAGCCATATGGCACACACTGTTTAGAGACAAATACAAATAAAAGAGACACTTTCAAGACTTGTCAAAGAAATAGGACTGGAGCTATTAATGTTGGGACAAGAAATCTACACAGCTCCTTCTTGAGTCACCTGAAATATCACCTAATGCAGGGTTATATGTACAAACATTTTCCCATTCATTCTGTTCCTTATGCTTTGCCCCAAGAAATACATGTGTATATCAACCAAAGGAAATTTATAGGGAAAACAGAGAAACCTAATATTGTAGATGACTTACTTAATGAAATACCTAGTCATAAATAAAGAAATAATAGATATAGATTGATATGGTTGACTCTAAAAAAACATAAAACTTAAATACAAGTTATAGCTTTTATCGCATGAGAGTTGTAGATTATGGTTACCTTTGGGGTACCAATTGTCTTTTGCTTTTTGCTTTTATGGTCAAATATTTTGGTAACAGGAGTAGAATGTGGGGTCTCATGTGTGCTCAGCATGAACTTCCCCCACTCAATTGCATCCATAGTTGGTTTGTTTGTTTATTTATTTATAAACAAGATCTTCATACATCTAACAGACAGGCCTGGAATTTGCAATCCTTCTGTTCTAGCTTCTGAAACAGCTGAGAGTGTAGGCCCCTCCTACTAGTCTTAGTAAAAATGTAGAATGAAGGATTATGGGTTTATTTTGTGTCAGGTAATTAGATTTCACACTTTGATAAAGAAATAATGGCTGTCAAAATATAAGTAAGCTTATATACAATTATACTTCTAAGTGCTTGGCTTTCAATGTAACTATAAGCCAGTGTATTCACATAATAAGACTGCAGTTCCTAACTCTAATTTCCTCATAAAATATGATATTTAACAATCAAAATTCAAATCAAGGTGTTATTCACGTGTCCTAAAATTTGTTATTAAGATGTAATTACTTCCAGTGATGCCAAAATTGCAACAGAAATTCTATAAGGAAGATGTACATTATCAAAGTGATCATCCTTTCGTCTATCATTTAGACTCCTTTAGAGAACTAAGTTGTTGGTTTACTGTAATGGAAGAAATTATATAGGAATGTCAAAAACATCCAAATTAAATTAGTCAAAATCAACAAAGTCAAACTATTTTCCAATAGGTTTATCAAACACTGCCCAATATCAGAGTATATTTAGATACATGTTGCTTGTTTTCCAGGGAATGGGTGTTCAATCGGTAGTTGTAGTGGGCAGGCTGCTTGCAACAGGACAGCAGTGAATGCAGCACAATACAAACTCCCAAACTTAAACCATTACAAAATTGTTTACGGTAACTGTTTTGTAACTTGATCATGCATTTTTTATAGAGTGTATTACACAGATGACAGTGCCATGTTTCAGTGTCACACAAAATCAACATGTGTGGCTCTTCCTATTTGTCTGCATTTATCTCTTCAAGTTTATGTTAGTGTGTGGCTTATACAGTGTTATCGCAGCTGCAGAACACCTGTGAACTTAAGAAGTTACATATAATTAGTGGTGACTTGGTAAGTAAAACACAATGACTAATCATATCATTGAAGACTATGGGTTTTTAATATTAGTGAGCAGAAAGGTTAATATTCTCTTAATTGATTATTAAGTGAACTTTGCAACCCAACTTCATTGGGAAAGGAGATGAGGAAGCCCCCAACTTTGCTATTTCCTTGTCAAATAATCTGCATGATAGACATAAACACAGTCTCTTATCCAGCATTCATTTTATTGTATTTATGTATTTTTAATTGAACTCAACTGTAGATGGATCATGAACCTCAATATTAGACCAGATACACTAAATTTCATAATATAGAAAGCAGGGGATAGTCTTGAATTCATTGGCATAGGAAAAGACTCTGAACAGAACACCACCATAGACACAAAGAATTAAAATTAATAAGTGGGATCTCATTAAATGAAAAAATTCTGTATGGCAAAGGATACCATGTTCAGACTAAGCAGCATGTTATAGAATGGGAAAAGAATTTTACCAACTATACATCCAATAGAGGCCTAATATCAAAAATATATAAATATATAAGAAGTAAAATAATTGACATCAGGTAATTATCCAAAATGGGCTACAAATATAAACAGAGTTCTCAAAAGAGGAAGCACAAACATATTTCATAGCAACAGTGGAGCCAGGATGTATCCCTGGTGCATAAAAGGACTTTGCGAACACATCCCCCATGGAGGGATAACTGCCTTAATCTAGAGACAGGAAAGAAGCCCTAGTCCCTACTTCACATGACCTGTCAGATCTACATGACCCCAACTGGATGGCATTCCCCTACATATGGAATTGAGGTGGGGGGATGGGAGGGGAGGGTGGTTAGAGTGCATGTGAGAAGGCAGAGAGGGTAAGAGGGAGGGAGAGGGAACTGGGATCGACATGTAAAATAATAAATAAAATTAAAAAAAAAAATGCTTTGACTCCAAAATTTAAGTTGAAGGACAAGTTACTGGGGAAAAGGATTTCTATTTTTGTTTCCACAGAAAATGAAAAGATGTGGTTTCCTTCCAGACTAATGTGGTTTGATCACGCCAGACTGCCTGAAACAGAGTACAAGCTGATCCTACATTCAAAACAGCTGGACAAAGCAGTCTTACAGACTACAGCCAGGATTTCTGAATCTTCTTCGAACCCCCCCCATGACAGTGCCCCTTACCAGCAGGAAGTAGTTTGGAAAGAACAACGCCCAAATTCCAAAAGTGTATAAATGTTTG